AAAATATAAAATGATGTGATAATAGTATGAATTGATTGGTAAATTAAATGATGATGGAATCTAGACTAAAATGATGCGATAATAATGTAAAATAATTGGATAAAAATATAGATTAATGCTATTGGATAAAAATATAGAAAAGTAAAAAAAAAATAAAAGAAAAAGTCTAGATGGATATTACTGCGCTAAAAATATAATGTAATATAGTTGATGAAAGGTATAATGGTAACAATATTAATATAAATACAGTCAAACTCTTCTATAATTATATCTGTTTATAGTCACATCTCTCTATAGTCACTCTATTTTGCTTTTTCATTTATATATAAACATAATAAAAAAAATCTTTCTATAATTATATTTTCTTTATAGTCACCAAATTTTGCTTTTCCAAGAGTGGTGACTATAAAGGGATTTGACTATATATAAATCATATTTTATATAATTGTGAACACTTATTTTCATAATAAAAAAATTAGATCTGATCTCTTAAAGTTTTTATTTAATATAGATTAATTAATAACAACCAGAATTAAAAATCCAATTATCAGAAAATTATAAATTTATCAATTTGTTTCTTTTTTACTAACTTCACCCCAATATATAAAAAAGCAAAAAATATAAAACAAATATCTAAATCTAGCTTGAAAGATAATTTTATATTTTAATGAATATCAAGACTATTTCAACAATCTAAAAAAAAGCTTGAATCTCAAACTTTAATTTGAATTATAGATTGCTTAAGATGAAAATGCTTAGTTTATTACTACAAGCAAAAACAAAATCTAAAAATTTTTTATATTAAATTCCTTTGATTTCTACCCATATCTTGACTTAGTCCTGATTCTAAGCTTTAAATTAACCTTTAACAATAATCTATTATCGTAGAATTTTTCCGGACATACATTTTTTTCGCAGTAAATTACAGAGAGACAAAATTTGTTAGAGATGATAATGCCTTTGCTCTGCGAATCGGAAAGAATAATTTTTATAGTAGGACGTAGGATCGAGGAATATATTATTTGTATCTATTGATCGTAAATCTGGCCTCATACATGGTAAAAGACTAAGCCCAGCGTGGGCGAAAACTTTATTTTTCAATGATATTTGGCATTTCGGTCGTTACAATACATAAAATGATAGAGTAACGAGTTTCAAAGGAGGAATATTCTACTTAAACACTATTGAATGTTCTTATGCGTTGCCAGTCAGACGTTGCTCCAGCGCAACCAAGTAGTTATTGATTCGAATTTTTAAATACTTCCAAAGACATGGAGATGACATGTTTGAAGCAAATTTACACGAATCGTAAATCGCGTTTTTTTGATAAATTCTCGAATAGTAAAATGTTTACTACATATATATTAAGAGTATACATATATATTAAGAAGAGTAAAATGTTTACTACATATATATTAAGAATAGTAATAATATTAACAAGTGTTTTACATGTTTTTCGTGATCAATTAAAATAAAAATGCGTGCTTATATACATAAATAGTGATAGTAATAAGGTTAGTATAAAGAATTCTAATATCAAAAATAATATTTTAAACTACAATGTAGCATTTGATATAATAATATTAGCTTCGAAAAACTAATTTGAAATATTAAGTGAAACTCTCGTTGCCCTCGAAATTAATAATTGTACTTTTTAATTAATTATTGACAATCCAGTCTAGTCCATTAATCCAACAAGATCTTTTGTAGATTTAGCGATTTGAAAGGAAGCGCTGGCCAAGCGTTGCTTAAGAGCTTTATTTGTTCTGAATTCTTCAATGTTTGTTTTAATAATAGAGCGAATCTCATCCAAAGAAAATACACTAGACTCTAAAGAATTCAGTATTACTTCGCCTTGTTCTTTATAGCTTGTCCCTGACGGCGACGAGAAAGCGGCTCGACATTTAGTAATAACTTCTGATACAATAGAACTGATAGTGTTGATGTCATCTTGGACATTATCGTCGCCGTGTATGTTACTGCGAATAGCTGAGAGAAGGGTTTGAATCGATTGTACTATTGTTTCCATTTTCAGTTCAAGGAATTTCTAAAAAAAATATAATTTTTATATGTTTCAACGATTTGTGAATAAATTTGAATAATTCATTAATTATATAAATTATTACTTTAGCATCCTCTATTTCAACAGTCTGACCATTAAGCCGCGTATCTGCCTGTAATTCATCTGTGTCACTCTTGTAATTTTGTCGCAATGTAGGTGATGCTGGCGTAGGACTTCGACTATGTGACGAGATACTCGTAGTTTCAACAGACAGCAGATTATTATTACTCAACTTTTTGAATTCTTCGTTATACTCTGCAGCGCTGTCGTCGAGACGCCGAAGTTTGATAAGTTTCACTAATTTTACTATTGTCTCCGTCAGATGACTTGCAGCTGCATCAAGTAAACTAACCGGCGAGATCCCGCCACCAGTCGCGTGATTTTTGGCTGCCGTCATAAGATTCGTTAGAGTGGCTGAAAGTTTAGTCTTTAGGGAATAGAGTTTATCCTTGTCTTCTGGTTTTAGTGATGCTGATTTTCGTTGTTCGTAGGCTTCGACGTCTTCTGTGATGCTTTTGCATGCGATTACAATTGATTTCATTGCCAGCAAGACATTTGTTGGGGCATCAGATCTATTTATTCCACAAATAATGAATAAATTAGCAAAAAATGACTATTAAATTGTAGGGTGAAATAGGTCGTCAAAATAATTAATAATGGTAGCTTAAAATTACGCACCGTCCTGCTCGCAAAAGATCATCAATAGCTGCTTGATAAGAAATAATTCGTGTCTCGTCTATCCCCCCATCTTGATCTGGTGTCAATAAGTTATCTTTTAAGACATCAATCTTTGGCGGCTCTTTTACAAAAGACGACGTTGCTAAATTTATTATTGGCAATTAAATCTTTATTAATACTCAAGTATAGGGAGAATTTTTTGATCAAATATTTGATTTATTTACATTACCTTTAAGATTTCGTAATTCGGTCTTCTTCTTTTCAAATTTATTTTTCCATTCGTCCACTTCTGCTTTTAGAGCTTTAATTTGAGCAGCATCCTGTTCTTTTTCAAGAAATAGTTCATCGTTTTGCTTTGAAAGCGACCCAATCTCTTCTAGTAATGTGGTGGCTTCTTTCCGTACATCGTTTGCAACCTAAATAATGAAATCATCATTAGTTATTGTAGATATTTCGGCAGTTTGCATGCTAATTAATTTATTGTCCATAATATGAATCAAATTGTTGTAAAATGCTAAAGTCTGATAAATCGATGAATACAGACAAAATTTCGATTTAACGATATATCGGTATATCTATTTCTCATTCAAAGAAAATAGCATCGCGATTTAACGATATCATATGAACAAAAATCCATTCTCGTTAAATCAAGATTTTATGCATAATTCAGGTATTCATCCGAATGATAAGCTTCCAACTATATTTTAACTTTGAGTAACTTGCTATCAGATTACCTCTTGTTGTTGTTGGTGATCATCATTTAATTTACTAAATTCTTTTTCTAAATCCTCCAGTTTCGATGCTTGTTGTTTATTTATTTGTCTTTGTGTTTCGAGTTGTTGTTCGAGTTCTCGAACCTTGGCGTTAGCAGCCAGATTATTATTCTTTTCCTGCAATATTGATGTATAAATAGAAATTTTTTTATTGTCAGTTTTATAATATGCAAATCAAGAAAAAAATTATTATCCGCGAATGGAATGTCTTACCAATAGCTCAGCCTCTAACTCTTTAATTCTGTTTTCCAATGAAGCGATACGGATTTGATAATCGGATTGGGTCTTTTAGAATGTCCAAATTATAATAATTTAACATATTTTATAAAAAAGATTTTGATAAACTTGGATTGTATGAATTCTATCTCACCTGTTCACTATTATTTCCATTAGATAATTTAGAGTTATTTAGAGTCTATTCAAAAATATATTGTCAATATAATGAATGGATTAATAATCAATGGCAGATATTAATAACACAGAAATCCATCGTTACCTCTTTTCGATTAACATCAGGAGTGAAAGACATCTGAGATGACAAATTAGCATTTTGCATTTTATGATCAAACATATTTCCAATATCTGCCATTAAACTATCAAGTGAAGCGGTGTTAAGTCCTTCATTTTTGTTACTTTTTTGACTGTTAACGGTGTCCCTGCTTCGATCTTTATTCGAGCCTTCACTACTTACGCTCTGTATATAGCGTCGGCCAAAATCTGAGATTGAAGAGGCTTGCGATTGTGTGCGACTTTTTGGCGATTGCGGTGACGCATATTCTGGAGGCATCCCGGGAGGCATTGATGGATAATTGTTATTTATGTTGTTGTTATTATTGCTGTCGTTAGTAACTTTGGTGTTCGCGGTGGCGTTAGGCGTGTCAGGTCGACTGGTTGGTTTTTTAATTGTATAGGCTATTATTTCTTCTTTTAGAATTCCTTTTTCCGGAACAATAGTATTTGATTTTGGTGCTTGAAAAGTGACACCGTCTGCTAAGTTTGCAGGGATCGGAATTTTTTCATTATGTTGGAACTATTTCCCCAAGAAAAAGAATTTTAATATCCATATATTTGAAAATAAAATAAATTCAGCAACAACACACAAACTCACGTTAAGTTCGTTAAGTTCTTTAAGTTCTGGAAATCGCCTATCTAATTCATAATATACATCGCTTGCCAGATCTTTGAATCGATTTTTCGGAAGAGTTGACAATTTCTGGCGTGCTTGATTTCTCTTTGGATGAAATTCTTCACGTGTCGGGAGACAAGACACTATATAAGCACAAAATAAACTAATCAAATAAACTTTTCGTTCAATATATCTCGAAATGAAAAAAATAAATGTGTATACAATGTTTATCGTATCTTTCGAGAATTAAATTCGCGAAAGATTACGTCCACGTAACAACGTAATAAGCAAGCGCAACACGATACCTTCGTTCGTACCCATTGTTCGTCTAATCAATTCGTCATAGACATCTATAGAGAGTTCTTGAAACTGTTGTTTGCTGAGTTTGGTCAGTTTATCGCGAGCACCAGCTCGTGAACTTGCTCCCTCGGCTTGCTCTTTTTCGAAAAGAAATTTCATGAGTTATTATAATTTTCATTATTTTGGCATCAATTGAATCGCAAATTACCTCTAAGATGTGTAGCAAGAAATCTTTTAAAAGCCTCGTAATGTGTTTGCATAACTTCCATATTAACGGGCTATAGATAACTATTTTATTTTAGTTTAGTTTGTTTTGTAAGGTTTATTTTCGAGTAATAAAAAAATGACCCCGTCTACGTGAGTCAAATTTTAAGAAAAATAGATTTCAAGCAGAAACTTTGAGTAGATAATAAATGAGTAATTCACATATCGGAGAGCATGATTACACGCATCAAATATAATAAAATAATATTCGGAACTTTCCAAACAAAGATCCACTTTCCAGAATTCCTATTAGAGGAAAATATTTACAAAAAAAAAAAGAAATTGCCTGAACAATAAATAATGAGGGTAAATTATAATGAAAAAAGTATCAAAAGTTAATTATTACTGTATATGTACTCTATTCTATTTTAGTTTACTTTTTTATATACTCTTATAGGTTGGAAAATTTATCCGGTCGGTGAACAAAGAGTAAACTTTCGAAACTTTAAGACTGGTAGAATTGTCACTGATTTCCAATTTAAAGTTTATGACCTCTGTGCCCAGGTGAATATTAAATATTTACTGTTACTCTATTGTTGTGTCAACTGATTAACCTAACTGTGAAAATATTGCCCGAAAAATTTCTAAGATTCCAAAAGGTTCTCGACTTTTCTTTTAATATCGATAATACTACAATTCACTCTCGTTATAGTGAAGACATCGGGACAAGAAAAAAATCTTCACTATAGCTTATATATATAACTTCACCACATCAAGCGAAGGTTTAATAGTAATCCTGAAAAAATTCTTTATCAAAACGAGAGATTCACTAGATCGAGAGTGAGTTGTATTTATCATATATTAAATAATAATAATAACAATAATAATGAAATAAATAGGCTACGTGTCAACCTATAAACTACTATCGGACGCCTTATCAAGTTCTCCTCGTGCAGTAGGCGGTGCACTTCGAGTGAATCCCTTCGCTCCTTTTCCTGTTCCCTGTCATCGAGTCATTTCTTCGAAATATTTTATTGGCGGATTTGACGGCGAATGGGGCACCGGTGAAAAAATTGGTGATAAACGAGAGAAATTAGCAGCTGAAGGAATTACATTTGATGAACAAGGCTACCTTACAAGGTATCATCATCAGGAGAAGGTCATTTTTTCCGAATTCAAAATTTAATATAGTTGATTGGTGTATTTATACGATGAGATTTTTGCTCTCTGTTTAATAATAATATTTTTATTATCTGTATGTATATTATATCCTGTAATTTTGAAAGATACTCCACCCGAGTATCATAATAATCATTATGGAAATTCTATAAGAACGCAATCTTATGCACGAGTTGGGATTATGGGAAATCCCTCAGATGGATTTTATGGCAAAACTATATCAATGTTAATTAATAAATTTTCCGTAAAATTGACTTTACTTCCAAATGAACTCGCAAATAATCTGACAGAATATCAAATCATCAATTTTCAATCTCCTGAAAATGGTCAAGTTATGTACACTTTTCCAAATATGAATTCATTAATCACCACCAACCCATCGATATTCGATCAAGACAATCGAGGGAACTCATTACTTTGGGCAACCTGCAAAGTTTTTCATGAATATTGCAAAACGCATGATATTCCCTTTCACAGTCATGACGATAATAAAGGATTCACCATTTCATTCAAGACAACTATCCCGCGACAAGTTGGACTCAGTGGATCATCAGCAATAATTACCGCTTTTTGGAAAGCTTTAATGATTTTTTATGGGGTTAGTCGTAATCAAATTAGCTTTGAAGTACAAGCTTCGTTGGTGCTTGCTGTTGAGAAAGATGTTCTGGGAATTTTCGCGGGATTGCAGGATCGTGTTATTCAGACTTTTGGTGGATTGATGTTTATGGATTTTGGAAAAGCGTACTTGGAAAAGCAGGGGTTTGGAAAGTATGAGCGTATTTCGCATGAGAATTTGCCGCAAGGGTTGTGGCTGGCTTATGAGACTAATCCTAGTGATTCAGGTAGATAAAAAGTTTGAGGTATTATTTGTCATCTGCGATATTCATCAATTTGTTTTAGGGAAAATTCATAGTGAGGTGCGTACGAAATGGGAGGCAGGTGATGCACAGGTAAATTAATTGTTTTTTTTGTATTATCATGTTATATGAATACAAATTATTTTATCACTCATTATTAAAAAGCATAGAAATTTCCCTTTATAGGTAATCAATGCAATGAATAGCTTTGCGGAGTTTGCAGAACAAGCCAAGGAAATTTTATCACGAAAAATTGATACACAACAAACAAGAAATTTTGTTCGTAAAGAACTTGCTCGACTTATGAACAATAATTTCTCGTTACGTCGTGAATTATACGGCGATCACGTCTTGGGACCAGCGAATTTACTTATGATTGAAATTTCGCATAAGTATGGGTTTGCCGCAAAACTAACTGGATCTGGTGGTGCTATTTTAGGGCTTTTGGAGGGTGATGACGACAACATCGACGTCATTACGAAGAATGTGGAGGATTTGAAATCGCATTTAGAAAGAGAAGGGTTTGCCTTTGAATGGATAAAGATTCAGTTACCTGAAATACCTGAAAAGATAGAATATTGAAGAAGGGAAGGCTTCATGTCGTTATTACTCTGTTCCACAATTGTCGCGCATAATCACGCATTCAATAATAAGTTTTTCTTGTCCCGAGGACGTAATTTTAAGATCTGTCTATATAATTACTTTTGTTCTTTACTTTGTGTTCACCTTGCACTGACAGACAGAGACGAAAATTTTCATCGATATTTTCTTCTTTCAAAATCGGTGCTATATTGAAAAAAATCAATTTTTTTCACGCAAACAGAACAGACAAATTTTTACATTTGAATTTTTAGTTTGTGATTAGGTTTGCGTACATTCATAATTACAAATATACTATTCAACTTGTTTATAGAAATGGATGATGTGATTGAATTTTCTTTCGATGGAGTCTGTGATTATTGAAGAGCGAGTCTTGTTTGTTTAACTTGAATTTGAATTTGATGGAAAATTAAAGGAAAAATGAAACTGCGGAATTACAAATCAAAAATGAATAAAAGATAATAGTTCCCAAAACTCTTGTATTATCTTTGATCCCTTTCGCCCTCTATTATTACTATTACTATTACTATTACTTATTAATAAATATTATAATACACGGAGACAAAAAAAAAAGATCTTTAAAAAACATAAATTATTTAATAACATGGTGATGATGATGTCAATGATGATGATGATGTTGAAAAAATAAATAATTGGATTTACGCGATTCATGATGCAATCATCAATTCACGTTCTTCTCGTTCATGTTCCTCCCACTCCACCTCTCGTTGCAACAGATCCAGTTTCACCATAGCATTATATGTCCGTAACAACAGCATATTCTCTAACGAATATCCTCCGACTTTTTTATCTTTGGTGTCACCACCGTCCAGCACTTTTTCAAATTCTGCTTTTGCCTTGCCGAATTCACGCATGTTTGTGAACAGACGACCGAGTTCATAACGTGCAAAGTGAATCAAGTAGTGGTCTAAATTTATGTTTGGGCCGTTCCTGACGACGTATTGTAGAGATGCTATTGCGGTTGCACAGGTTGATGTGACATTATCTTTATTGTGGTTAAATGTTTTTTCATCTTCGTGATTAGGATTATTTGGGAATGCAATTTTTGAAAGAATTACGCCACGGAGTAAATATGCTAAACAGAAATCGTCCCAGAAATTAATGTAGAGGTCTCTTTCTTTTATGCCGTCCAGGTTGTTGATTGTGATCTCGATGATTGATAGTGACCGTAAAAGATGTACTAAGGGCATGACATCGTATGAATTCCATACATATGTTAATTCGCATGCAGGTAAAAGGAGACGATGCCCTTGGGCGACAAATTTGCGAGCTTTACGCGAAACAAATTTCTATGAATTGGTATGTAGATAAATCAATCCAATCAACAAATTGGTTCCATCAATTAATCAATTAATAAGAAATTAAATTACCTCCAAAGGAATTGATTTTCCTGCTATACGTTGCATCAATTTCGGCACTTTTCTCATCATTCTAATAACACGATCCATATCTTCAGGTCTCCCCAAAGTATATAAACACACAGCCTGCTGGAACAAATAAACACATTTACTCCACATCGACTCTTTACACAGCGTCTTGAAACACTCGTACGCGTGTTCGAAATCCATCAGACACTGATAATTTAACGCCATCTCCCAATAACAAATATGATGAAGTTGTTTCCATTGTTTCTGAATATTGATGGCCGATTTATACTGCGCGATCGCTTCATACATATAAGATTCGGATTGATGTAGACGTCCCGAGAAATAAAGAAACAGCACTCCATTCGGATATCGTCGTAGATTATAGTTTAAAATTTTTGATGCAAATGAGAGATCAGCATCTGCGACCGGCACAAGATTGCTGATTATCAAATGATATGAAAGTAATGCTAAATCACAAAATGGTCGGCGTAGCCCTTCATTTTCTATGTCTATCTCCGGTTTACTATGATTTTTATTGTTGTGATCATTACCGTTAGTATGATTCTGATTATTAGTACTAGAATCGGGTGAATCATGTATCCATCCACCACAAAATTCCAATGTTCGTAAAGCAAAGCTTCGATCACTTGTAAATCCGACAAAATGCATGATTTTCAAAATTCCTGGCGGCAATAACGATAAAATTAAATTAAATATCCCGATACCCAATGACACCCCCGAGCTGAAATGACTGTCCACTTCAAAGGTCGTTATATCTTCATCATCTTTTACACATTCCATAAATTTCGCTAAATTACGAAATATAATATAACTATTTCTTATATTGATACTCTCTCGTATAAACGATACAAGTGCGTTATCGTAAAATATACTAAGTACTGCTTTTAGTAGATAAGCCTCTGCGTAGACTAATTCTGCATGTCGTTGAATTCGATTCATCGATTTCAGTGCATTAACGCTAGCTGCTCCCCCTCTCACAAAATTCGAGATGGATCTGTCTCGTTTACGCAAAGAAGATGCTAATTGCACTGTGACCTTTAGTGCCGAAATCGCTTTCTCAATATCAGCCGGTTCAAAGGTCATTAATGACTTTAAGTAAATTATAAACGAGTATCCTAAAGAATGATACATTGACGTCTTACTCTTGATCATAAGTAAATCCTCGGCACCATTCATTCTCGAGTTGAAAAATCGATCTAAAGCTTGTCGTACTTCACGTAAATCATCCTCCAAATCCATGTCTGTTTCCTCAACTAGCGGCGCTGACAAGTTCGAACCACGTTTTGATAGTCTTTTTATTGTTCCTCTGGTTGGTAGGACGGGAATAGATTGCGCTGCACGGGAGTAAAGCCGTGTCTGTCTTTTATTTGAGGGAAACTTTGCAAACATAGAGTTTTGGGATAAATAAGAGCTGCGCTGTGAAGATGGTAAGGGAGGCGACAATTCCCCTGTTTCGTCACCTGCTAAAGAACGCTCATCGTCCGTTGTCTCTAACATAACAGAGCTAGTATCACTCAATGCAGTGTCGTCCCATAGTTGCAAGAGATTGGTTTCTGTCTCCGGAGGTTGAAACTCTAAAGCGTCCTCGAAAATTAGTTCTTCCTCGGAATCACTCTCACTGTCATCTTTTATCCGATTGATTTGTATGGTAGGGGATGTAGGTGTTGTCGTCATGGTAAGAGATTAATTGCGGGATGGCTGATTTTTTGATTAAAAGAATGAAAGAAAATAGAGGATAATTGCAAGAGACATAGTGTGTGTGTTACGCGAATCACGCGTTAATTCTAATAAACTGAAAATGTTCGGAAAATATACTGGGCAATGATTGGTTTATGGCCGTAATACCATAAAAGATTTATGGCATTACGAGTTATGGCGTATCCGACATTTTAGATCATCTACTGCAGATAAATTATATATTTCTTTCCCCCGGAACTTTTATGCAGTGCTATACGTACAGTAACAATCAAGGGTGATTGGTTAAAGTCAAATGATCGATATAAAAACATCATTATTGTGACAGATCATGGTGATTACAGGATCATATTTATTGTAAAATAATATAAAAAATTTACTAGAATTAGAACTTAGTGATTAGGATCAAGAAGATTACAATATACAATTATTTGTTATATATATTGATATATATCATAAAGTTTACAAAAATTTCAATATCTTCATGAATTTTTTGGCCAAAAGATTTGTCAAATTTTTATTATGATTTGATTATCATTATAATCATCTATAATTATTCTAATTAAAGAAATCAATTATATAGAAACATTTAATCACAAAGAATATTCAAGTATGTAGAAATACTTGATTCTTCCTAATTGTTCTAATTTTTCTAATTTTAAATATTATTATTATTATTTAATTATCACTATATTACAGTAAAATTAACATGTAATTTTTGTAAATCATATTAACATGTGATTTTTGTGAATTATATTTATATGTAACTAGCATAAATAAGTGATTTTAAATATGATTTATTGCACTAGTTCAGAAAGATTTGATTTAATACTATTCCTAAGAGGAGTGATAAATATTAGCTAATATTCATTTTGTTATAAGAACTCTTTCTCTTTTAAGATTATACTAATATTTAAATTTTGATTATTTCTTTTAGAATATTAACTAATTTTGTTATTTCTCTAAGCTTTATTTATAGACTTCCCAGAATTCATCTTGATTAATATTCTTATAAACTGAATTAAATCAGACTTTTATTTGAATTTGAGTCTGGTTCAAAATTTGAATTAAACTTGAATCAGACTTTGACTTGAATTCAAGAAAGATTTAAAGTTTGAACTAAATTATTATACAAGTTTAAGTTTGATCTGAGTTTGATTTAAAATAAATACATAGTATTATATATTGATTTGTAGCTTTAAAGTATTTTTATTTTATATTTCTTAAATTTGATTGTAAATATTATATAACTTCTCAAATAATTATTATTAATAATAATTATTTTATATTAATTTGTAATTTATATTGTTATAACTTTATTTATAATTATAGTTTATAATTATTATAGCAAAATAAATATTTATTATATATAACTAAAACAAATTAAAATTGTAATAATTAGAAATATTTTTTAAATTCATATAATTTCTTGAATATTTATTCTAAATATTAATTATTTTATATTAATTCATAGCTTTAATTAAAATTTATAATTTTATTTAGAACTTTATTAAACATTTACTTGAATTCAAATTGGACTTTTGATCAAGTTTGAATTTAATTCAAAGTTCAAACTGAACTCAAACCAGACTTTTAATTAGATTCAAATTTTTGAATTAAACTTTTGATCTGATTTGGATTTGATTCAAGCTTGAATTGAACCAGACTTTTTCAGAATCCTAATCTCAATTGTATTTTTTCTTTTTCTGGAATTAATACTCAAAATAATATTTTAACTATCTTTATTATTATTTTTATTATCAAAAAAAATATTTTTATATATATGTAACTCAAGTAATAAACAAAAAAAATTTTGAATAACAGAAACAGTTTCTTAAATTCAGATTCACAAATTATAAACTTATTAAATCAAGTATTAATCTCAAAAAAATGAATTTAAAATCTTATTGAAATAATTAAATAAAAAAATAGTCTCAAAAGTTATAATTATTTATTATAATTAATTTTGCAAATTTATATTTAAATTTATTAAATATATATTTTTATTGTACTTTATAAAACTCATAATTTTTTTAATAAATTAAATTTCAACAAACATGAATTATCACAAAATATTTTTGTAATTAATACTATCTTTATCTATCAAATACAAGAAAAAAGTAGCTATTATTATTATTTTCATCAAAACTTTTATAATTACTTAATTTTTGGACCAACAAAAATTAAAATATATTATAATGTTAATTAATATAACTTAATATAACTCAATGATGATCAAATTAATTTATCTTTTTATTTTTATATTATATCCTATTATATAATTATATATTATTATCTTTTTAATATCTAAATTATAATACTTAATAATAATTATATTTTTATATATTTTTGTTTTATTTTTTCTTATTATTTCACTAAATTTATTTATTCTTGTATTTTTTACTCTAAAATTTATATTTTTATTATTAATTTATTTTATTTATACTCTTATTATACTTATTTTTCTCTTTAATTTTATTATTTTTAATTAATTATTTTTATATTTATTTTATTTTATTTTTCACTTTTGTTATAATTACTTTTTTATCTCTTAGATTCTTTGTTATAATTATTTATAATCAAGTTTATACTATTATTTTTTTCTTTATAATACTTTTTTTACTTAAATTCTTATTTTTTCTTGTCTTTAATTATTAAAATTATAATTAATTTTCTTTTATATTTTCTTTTTAATGAATTTATATAATTTCTCATTTATTTTTAGTATTTATTTTTCTTTTATATTATTAGTATTATTTGTAAAATATAGAATAATTATTAATTATATTGTCACCATTTTACTTGGGTTTCAAATATATTATATCTTCTTACGTGCTCAACACATGTTTCAAGTCAGGTGGGAGAGATAAGATAAATAACTAAAGGTTGGTGACGTGTATTCAATAAATTACTAGTCAGCTAAAAAGTGACTTAAGAAATCTTCTTATAAATTAATGTGTATTTAATAATTACGACGATAGTT